TATATATATATATACACACACACATACACACACACAGATACAATACAAAATGAATGTTAATTCCATAAGTATGCGCTACTGAAATCACTGTGAATCACATATAGCACCCTAGCATAGTGGCACTAAGTTTTCTACACTTATTTTGCTTTAATTCTCGATCATAGTCTTTTATAACTCAATTTTGACTGTTTTGTATTATAGGCCTAATGCAGTGTAGCTCAGGCTTGAGGTTAAATGTTTGCAATGTGTGACTGGATAAAAAGTCTGTACAGGATATTAAGTTTATATTTGAGAAACTAATGTGTAATTGTTTCAAATGTTGGTTCTACTGCAGGATTAGAAATTTTGTAACTTCTCTTGGGAACATCCAGTGGCTGTGACCATCCTGATTACATGGGATGAACGGTGTTGCGTGTCACCTGAGAGGCAAATGCAATTTGGAAGTGCATCGCTAATTGTCCTCCCCGCAGCGTTAGATTGCGCTGAGGTCTGAGGCCTGCAATGTCGAAAAGTAATTAGGCCGCTCACATATTCCAATGCTTTCCCGTCCGTTGTTTTGCTCATTCTGTGTCTTTGGGCTGCCAAGTCAAGCTTATTCTTTCAGTGTGCGTGTAACCAGAGCGTTTGAATATCCCCAAAGGAAGGTCTCAATCGGAGTCGGCCGTATTTACCCAAGCTGCGTTTTTTCGTCAACATCAGCAGAAAGTGAAATAAAAGAATGAAATATGTGGGCACACCAGTGACTCCTGGGACCCGATCCTCATGAACAATACCATGCGAAAAAGAGGCAGCCTGAAAAACGCTTAAGATCCCTTAACCATTTTCAGACATTTAGACGGCCACATTGGACCGCGTGCTCCCGACCACAAGCATTTTTGCAGGCTAGTCCTAATTATCTAATCCTTTTAAATGGAGCTTTATATATTCTCTAAAATTCATTTGTCATTTTGGAAGTGTTTGAAAAGAGGAAATAGTAATAAGAGTCACAGTTGCTGCTGTCTTCATCAGCCAGTGCCCAAAACTGTGGGTGCACACGACTAAAGGGAGTGGTTTTGAAAGAGGATATATTAGCTTAATCTTTATGTCCACAATAAAGTAACATTCTCTTTCTCTCTGCCTCTCTTTCCTTGTTTCTTTCTCGCAGTACTTGTGTAGCGTGGGGGCTCGTGCCAGGGCCCGGTAGGAGCCGGCACCATTGCGTCCAACAAGTGGAGTGCCAACGGCAGCCCGGAGCAGGGGCTGGAGGATGGGGGTGATGAGCTGGACAAGGCCCTGGATGGAGACGCCGAGGGTGTGTGGAGCCCCGACATCGAGCAGAGCTTTCAGGAGGCACTGGCTATATATCCGCCCTGCGGACGGCGCAAGATCATCCTGTCGGACGAGGGGAAGATGTACGGTAAGTGAGCTTGCAATGCATTCGTGTGCCGAAGGGGAATTTGTGATGCACATAATCCTTTTACATCAACATTCGACAAGTCCAGGGCTTAACGTTAAGGATTTTTTTCTACTGGCCCGGTCGAGCCCTGCCACAAAAAATAAAATAGTTGCTGCTATCATTGTTTTTGATCTACGTTATCTTGTATTCTAATAAATAAGCTTATATGTCACCAATATTTTAGATACCAATTAAATTTTACAATTCTCTGTGTTAAATTTAAATTTCGATACCACAGCAAAAACCACTAGCCAAAAATAAATATAAAGTTCAAACATTATTAAAGACAAGTGAACAGCCAGTAAATAAGAACAAATGAACAAATTACAAGTAAAAGCACAATTAAAAATATAGCACAAAGATAGAAATAAAATGATGCTTTAGGTTTGTATGTTTGTAGATGTTCAGGTACAGAAACAGAAAAATCACATAAAATAACATTTTCATATTCTTCACTCTGTGTTGCACCTTGATTTTTCAATAATTTGAAATTAGAGGCTACCACTGCGTTTTAATCATGAATTGATCCCAAAAAAGTGCAATGTTTGATTTATGTTAGACTGTATAATTTCAAAACCTGAAGCAAAAACAGAATGGCCTGACTTTAGCTTTGTGAAATTTTGCTACAATAAACATCTGCATGAAACAGAAACGCAGACGGGCTGAATGAGATGCAATTTCTTTCTCTGACAGCAGGTGGTGCTTATGTAACAGTAATACAGCGTTTCCTTAGCTACTACTGTAAACACAGCAGCGCTGCGTGTATTAACTCTAATTTAAATGCATTATATGGAGGCAAGATGAAAAAGAAAACGGCATGTAAACTTTTCTGAAAACAGCCAGTCTTTCACGCCCGAATGCTTTTAAATCGCTTGCATTTTTTAATTAACAAGGCTTGAAAACACATGCATATGATAAACTTTTGTGACTACACTGCAGTGGCCCGATCGTTTTTCACACTGGCCCCGGGCCATCGGGCAGTCCTTATTGTCGAGCCCTGAAGTAGAGGTCTGCGCGGGACTATTTTTTTAGTCCCATTCCCACCCGCTCCCGTAAGGTTATATTCCGCATCCACCCGCTCCCGCTATATATTCACTCTTTGTTCACCCGCTGTCCACTTAGAATAATTTTCTTCCCGACCCGACCGTTCCCGCTAAATTTAGATCTCGTTTCCAGAATCTCACATTTAAATTTCCGCTACTGAAAGAAAGAGAGATAGGCTAACAAATAAAAGTGTAGTGTGCACAAAATTGTGTTATTTTATTCGTCTTGCCAAGAGTCTTGAATTTATTGACTTTGACTTGAATTTATATGAATTATCTCAAGACACAAAATTTGTTTAATATTTTATGCAACACAGTAGGAAAAAAAGTGTCAAGAGAAAATAAAAATGTACAAAAATTGTATTTCTTGTTTTTATTCGTCTTGTCAGAATACAATTCGTTTAACATTTACAACACAATAGGAAAAAGTGTCGCAGAGAGAATTTTTTTTTTTAATGTAGGTTGTACAAAAATAGCCTATTAGCTATTTTTATTTGTCTTATCAAAATGCTAAATTCGTTTGACATTTTTCTGTTAACACAGTAGGAAAAGTGTCGCAGAGAAAAATAAATAAATATGACACCTGTTGTTTCAAATTATAGGCGAAGCAAAATATAAACAAAATCGAGCTGAATGTCCTTCAAGGACAGCGCATCCACACTTTGCTCCATCCTTATTCTGCTCTGTCCCTCATCAACAACCTGCCTGATCTGTCTGAGGGCCGTATATTTACCACCGGCACAGCCTGCTCTGAGCATCATTATGTACATTATGTACACAGACCACACAAATAAAACACGTGACACAGAAAGCATGCGTGAGTGCAGGCTGTACTGGTGGTCAATAAAAATAAAGCGCAGATATACTGTTCTGAATGGACGTCGGGAACGGGATATTGTTAGACTGCCCGCTACCGTTCAAATTACACCAGAGTTACACCGACCGCTGCCACGTTATCTTCGAGAATTTAATCCTGCGGCTCAAAAAATCTGGTCGGGTCCCGTGGGAGAGCCGCGGGAATGCAGACCTCTACCCTGAAGTCACTATGCTGCCCATTGAACTCTGTATTTGTTATGTTGAATTTAAACTTTGTGGTCTCATTTAGGGTTGCAATTAGGGTTTGGCGATATACCGGTAAACACGATTAACCTGTAGAAATTTGTCAACCGGTAGAGATTTTGGACTATCCTCTCTATCGCGGTTACACACTCACGTGACATTAATGTGCTATGTGGTCACGAAAATGCATAATTTGTGCCTGTTTTTAAGCATTGCGGTGTAAAAACAAGTGATTTTAAGCTGCTGAAGTGCAATCAGCAGCGAAAGAGAAATTTCACTATATGTGCATGCTGTCAGAGAAGACTGTGCTCATAGAACACAGGAGTATTGAACATAGTTATTTTTGCCACTTTATAGGCCTAGAACGGTTAAAGGTGCTATTTTAAAGATCATTATTTTGTGTATTTGGTGTAACAGAATATGTTGACATGCTTTAATGTTCAAAAAACACATTATTTTTCAAATACTGTACATTATTGTAGGTCCTCTATGCCCCGCCTCTCTCAAACACGTCATTTTCAACATAGCCCCCTCCTTTGACAAGCGCAGTCTGCTCTGATTGGCCAGCTGACCCAGTGCATTGTGATTGGCCGAACACCACAAGCACGCGTCGGAAATGTAACGTGCCTTACCATAATCGCTTCAGCTTTCAAAGTAAATATCAAGACAGTTAATAATGTTGTTAGTTTTACCATCAGTTCAAGTCCGAAAGGGGAACAGAGTCGTGTGACAGACACAGTGATGA